TTTGCCATAGATTACATAAAAGAATAACAATACAACAATAAATAATAACTAATAAATATTGATAAATAATAATAATATTAATCTATGGCTGGGAAACAGAAATTAGCTCATGCAGAGCTAGTCTAGTCTGTTTCCCATCAAAATGTATTTTTAAATAGCTATTTATTAATTGTTTTGTTTTGTAAATTTATTAATTATAAGTAAAATAAAAAAAAAATATCTTGCAGTTCATGATATTAAAACAAGAAATTTTTCATCTCTATCCGTTGATCTCTTTTGTAATGTAAGAATGTCATCGAAAGACGTGACCGTCAATATAACCAATAAGATGAGTCATTTCAATCCAAACAAATGCGTTTTATTATTGTAATCACTGACTTCCTCCATTTCAATCCAAATGTATGTGTGTTCGACGCAGGCTTCTATTATTACATCGAGTCATTTCAGTTTGCCTGGAAATAAAAATAATGTGAATGACAATTTATTTGCAGTTTTCATATACGACAATATCGACACATTTCGTCTTTAAAATCTTAAAATAAAATAATCGCCAGATAGCGACACTTTTTTTGAAACTTGAACATGTTTAGCACGGCATTTATCAAGCCAACGTAAAGAAAAGGGAAAAATACACAGAGAAAAGCAAATCGTACGATGATACCGTTGTTTTAATATTTCTGCGATATGAGAACTTCAAAACGAATAACAACAATTATTATTATACATCTGTCACCGTAACGTCATAAGTTACAGCGTGCCGTAATTCTGCGGTATTGCACTGGGTATTTCCAAATATGGAACGATTCCGCGCGTAAGCAATCTGTTCTAAGTTTTTTTGTATTTTTCCCATGATGTATCCTTGGGAGAAAAAGGTGTATAATAACAAGGTTATTACGAGGATACTGGAAATTAAGCACTCAGACAGTACGCGACTCATAATATTAAAGATTAAAAGTCAGTATATTTTGAATATGTGTGTGTATGGTTATCGTTTTGTGTCATCTTTCCTTTTATCCTCAGGTCTTTGGGTAAGATCCGGCATTAGGACTGTAAAACAGCAGATCGAAAGAACATACTAGAAAACATAATATAACAGAACTCCGCACCCTGCTGCCCGT